TATCTGTTTTATTTTTTTTATTTGAGAATACAATATCCAATTTTTTTTCATGCAGTCTTGAAAAGGACATCGATAAATGGCGACCTCCATGCGCATACATAGAGAAGTCAATTTTTGAAATTCGTATCCACTCTTTGCAGCATGATTCAATCGGTTATGTTGGCAATGGCGTCCGCGAATGTTGGTTTGAGGTGGTGCTGATGGTCCGTGGTCGATCGACATTAAACCAGGATTTCAAATACCCCATAAAAAGAAATCGATGATCAAATTACTGGAGAGCTGCCGGCCATTGGAGATCGCCTCTGAGAGAGAGAGTCCAGCAGCGGAGACGTCGGAATGTGTACGAGCATACATAATTGCATGTAGATCTCGTTGCTTAGTGTCGCTAGTGCTCCATCTTGCTGAAAAACACACGTTCCTAACGTGCATTATCTTCGAGTCTTGGAAGAAAAAATTCTCGATCATTTCTGAACGAGCTCCATTTCACGGTAACTGCGCGTTCGTGTTCTCTTCACAAAAAAATAAGGACCAATTAATTCCATTACGACATCGCACCACCCAGACAAGTAAACTCGCTCAACAATTAAGTATAACACATCTGCCTCTAACCGCCCAACTCACCGCGCGGGAATTTTTTCAAATAAGTAAGTTTCTCTGGCGCAGCCTGTATGATATGTTATAGGCAATGGTATAGTGTTCTCTCAATATTCATGAGCTTTGTTCACAATTTACAGATTATATTTTATAAAATGGTGTTATAATCAGAGGCATATCTAGGAATTAAGGCACTTATGGCAAGCATAGAATTTGTATTCCTGTTAGGATGCCACAAATGAACGTTGTTTTAGCTGGTATACTCCAAATAGCACCCATTGTGAGTGGCACCCATGGCACATGCCATGTCTGCCGTAACGTAGAAAAGCCTCTGGTTATAATAGAACATTTCATCAATATTTTGCTTTCAAAAGACACCTTGCCTCCAAGCATTTATTAGTAATATCATGAATAAATAGTTTATGTTTAACGATTTTCTAAATCTAGAATCACGTGCTACTTATGGATACCACGGACAACGTACTTAATATTGTTACAGTCGGTGCTTTATTTTTGAAAGTGTCATTGTCAACCAAGTAATTGTGTGGTTGTTAATTTACTTAGCAAGACTATATTAGTGCCTAAAATTACTCAAAGGCACTAGGTAATAATAAAATAATACCGTATTTACTTAAATGTAAGCTGACTCCCTAATTTTGAAGAGGCCTCCTGAGAATTTTTTAAATTTTAAACTAGTTTGTACTATTTAGTGAAAAAAAACTCACAAAATGTCTTATTAACTAGAAAACTGCCTTTGATGAAATTGTTATTGCTGAACTATTACTTTCTTGTTTCTAAATATCATCATAATCATCACTGTTAATTTCTTTCTGGTCTACTTCCATGCTGTGACATTATCTGAAGTTTTAGGCCCCTCTTGAAAGCTTTGCGAACTAAATTTTGCGTTGTTTATAGTCTTTTATCAGACGCCGTCTATGAACATTACTTTCTGTCGCCAGATTGTCTATCCGTCCCGCACTTGTTGATGGCCTCTGTTCAACACAGATTCGTATTCGCCGGGCATAGTTGTCGAATCAAGATTCCGCGCAACCTCGTCGACCTCGTCATCGTGTAACTCTCGGCTCTCTTTTTCACGTTACGTTTCATTTGATACTGATTTCATTTAATACCATGCCATTCGGTTAGAGATTTTCTTTACCGACCCATTCAAAAATAACGGTCTGAATTACGCGACAAATTCCCGGCGGATGCCTAGAATACAAACGCAAATTTAATTACGTATTGTTACGCGCGATATTTTTACCGTCTTCACAGTTGATTGTTACGTCAACATTTACGAGTTTCGTATCGTGAAATGGCAATGTAAAAACTTCAATCCTAACCGACTACGCTTAATATCTGAATATAAGACGACCCTGCATTTTTCAACTGAGATATTTCGGAGAACACCTCGTCTTATATTTGAGTAAATACGGTAGATACTAGATAATAATACATATGATCAGAAAAAATTGCAAGCTTGTTTCACCCATAATAAGGTACCAAAATATCAGAAATGATATTCAAATTGATGAATTATTCAGGTTTTGATTTTGAAATGGTTTCAAATGGTCATTCTATCGATAATTAAATTGAAATATATTAGTGTACATTGTTATGTATTATTTTTCTTGAATTATAAAAATTACCACAATGCACAATTAAAATTTGTTCTTGGGGAATGATTTTTAAGAGTTCAAAAGAAATGGACTCATTTCTTTCTGAAGCATCCAATAAAACAAAAGGCAATATCTTATCTTTAAGAGGCTTTTAATTTCTTGAAAAAAGGCCTGAAAACACAGACATCAGTAGTTTTTAGTCTTTCATTTGCATAAAATTTGAAGATCTTTGAAAAACTGAAACCTTTTTTTCCCCTTCCAGAAACGTATTTAATGAAAAATAACAGTTTTGGTTTTGGTCACCATTGGAATGGTTTTTAATAGACAAGATGTCACTTACAG